TTTTTACTACATATGCCCCATGTGAGTCAAGAATCTGTCGGTGGTGCACCACAACATTTCTACACAGGGAACAAAGCAAGTGCCGTTACGCAGAGATTTGCAGGTCCTTTCCCACAATTTATGTTCCCCTTCCAAGCAATTATGTGCTTTTTTTCTTTTTTTTCAGTTGGGTGCCAAAAAGCGAGTGTTAGTGCACGGGAGAAGTGGTGGTTTGGGGCAACGGGCTGTTTGTGTGCCATTCCCAACTGTGATTAAACGCTTTGGGGAGAACGGTACAGAACATGTGTTGCCTATTTGTAAATGCAAGTTTTGCTTTTCCCAAAGTGAGCCCAGAGTGTGTTTTTAAACCACAATAAAAAAAAGAAAAAAATCATTGTAAAAAGTGGAGGCTTAACTTAATCCTTATTGCAATAAAATCTCACTCCCTGAGGTTGTAAATTGGGAATTGGGCTAAAACTTTCAGGAACAACTTGCCTCTTTCAACTCAAGTCACTTCACAACAAGCAGCAACTTGACAAATTCTTTAAAAAAAAGAGAGCTCAAAATGTTTATTACCACCGCTACTTAAAGTAGTTATCTTCCTCTTTGTTTGCGTCGCAATGACTGTTTTACACTGTTGCAAGGTAGCCAAGTAGCACACAGCAGAGGCCAAAATAAAATTCATCATGACGCACAAACTGTCAAATTCTTTTGAATTGCGTAAATACTGTATGTTTTTATAAATTGCTACATGACAGAAGGCTATTTTTCTGATTAAAAAGACATAACAAAAAATTAATTTGCGGGATGGATGCTGGAACAGATTAATGCCATTTTTATTTATTTCACTGGCCAACAATGACTTGAGATACAACCATTTGGAGTTACCGACATGATGGCGGAACGAATTCTACGAAATGTCACTTTGGAGAAATTTGCATGTGTGTTGTTGTGCTGAACAACAAGTTGCAGCAAGTGGCCACATACCGCTTGACTGAGTGCCAGTTTAACATTCTGCAAGCAGGTTGGATTTGCTTGCAGACGTGAAAAGAGACTTGCACATCTAAATATGTGTCAATTCCTGTAAAGCTTCATACCAAAAGTCCTTCGGGGTTCAAGTCCTGAGCAAGTCCTGATGTGTTCAGCCAATACAGCATTGAAAGTACCGGGTAGTTCGATGTCTTGTAAAAATTGTGTGTGTGTGTGTGTGTGTGCGTGTGCGTGTGCGTGTGTGTGTGTGTGTGTGTGTGTGTGTGTGTGTGTGTCTTTTTATCCTCTGGCAGAACTCCCACTCATAAACTTAGTATCTGACTTTGACACATTGGTGCCTTTTCTCTATAATCTTAATTTCATTCATATATTTAGAGTTTTCAATCGAGCAAACAAATATTTTTGGAATGTGGGAGTAGGTTCAAAAAAAAAATCTCACACAAGCACAGAGCGAACATACAAACTGCACACAGCAAGGCCACGAGAGTTTCGATCCCTAAACATTAGAACTACGAGACAGACATTCTAACTAACCCCAGGACAACCATGTTGCCCTTGTCAATAACTCGTATAATATTGTGATCAATATGTGAGTTTTTTAGTCCTCTTCACGTGCGTGTTTTTTTAAACGAACACAAGAAATAAACTTATTTTGAATACTTTAGCATCCTTATGATTTGTCCATGCAACACTGACAATCACAATCAACGTCATTGATCTTGCATCCTAAAAACCCTAAAATGTGTCCAAAAAGTCACATGAATGAACATGAAACTAATACAAATCTGGGTTGTTACGTTGCTTTACTGCCTCCATGAAATATATCGTATAGTCATGCCGAGGAACTGGCTGTGGTACTTTCATGGTTGCAAGCCAGACTGTTACAGGATTAGTAACATCTGATGTTCGATAGTTTGAGGAGGAAAAAAAACACCCTCGCCTTTAAGAATTCTACGCAACAGACTATAACGTCATTTTTGAGGAGGTGCGGGTAACTTTCCTTGCAGGAATGCACATGAGAAGTCGCTTACCTTGAAGAAAATGGAAACCTGTTGTCCTCCGACAGACAGAAAATCTGCGTGTCCTGACTCCTGATCAAGGAACACTTTTTTTCTGGGCTTCACGAAGTCGGCTGCACAGTCACAGAGAAAGCGAGAGACAGAGCAGAGAGAGCGAGAGAGAGAGAGAGAGAGAGAGAGAGAGAGAGAGAGAGAGAGAGAGAGAGGAGAGAGAGACAGAGAGAGACAGAGAGAGAGAAGGAGTGCGTGTGCGCGCGTGTGTGCGTGTGTGTGTGTGTGTGTGTGTGTGCGCGCGCGCTCGCGCGCACTTCCTCCAGGCGTGAACACACATCGCTCCAGGTCCGCCCCTGCAGTCCTGCTCTTCCTCCTCCTCCTCCTCCCCTCCCGATAAAAACGCAAGGAACTCGAGCCAGGTGTTTGAGCCGAAGCAGGCCAGGTAAAACATTCCTCTTTTTTTCATTTTTACACCGAATTGTATGTAGTTTTATTTTTTAATTAACGTTTATTACTTTTTGTAATTTAATGTTATTAACATGTATGAATTTTGTCATAGTTCCAAATTGTTAAGTAACCTCAGTTTTCATTTTTAATTCCGAGTCAGTAATTGATGTACAAAGTACAACTACGTGTGCAACCATAATGAATGTACTCGTTGGCCAATGTGCTTTTGTCAGAACAGCGTCAGCTGACGTGCCAGTGCTACGTCTTATTGGTCACCAGGGTAACCACGTGATTCACTTTTACCACACGTACCGCCCCTGAATGTGAACGCACTTCCGCCCCAAGATGGTCGTCGGCGCCTTCCCAATCGCCAAGCTCCTTTACCTCGGAGTGAAGCAGTTGAGCAAGCCCGTCGCCAGCCGGATAAAAGCCGGGGCACGGAGTAGCGAGTTTTTCAAGAATTACATCTGCCTGCCGCCGGCCCAGCGTGAGTAACCGGCCTTTAGGGGCCTCTTGTGACCGCTAGACTTCAGTGTCAGACATTCCCGGACTGAATATAGCCGGAGATTCGCCGATGACCAATGAGATTGCGCTTCTTAAAACCCTGTATCCAATAGGCATTGTGAATTCTCTTGGTTGACCAATAGTAGACGGGAACAGGTGGGTGGGCGGTTCTTATATGTCATTGAACGCTTGTGGAGCAACACAACACAGGGCGAATTTTATCACCTCACCCTGGCAGTTATTAAATAAAAATAGGAGTAATAAACTTATCCGCATTGTGACAACCTATTTAAATTGATCAGGATATTTAGCTAGCTATTTTCAGTTGAGCATATACATTAAATTAATGTAGTTACCCCTGTTGAAACAGCTTCCAGTTCAACGACAGTAAATGGCAGCCATTCATTTATATTTCTGTGTAAACATCTTTTAAGTACCCCAACACGTACAGAAAAAAGACAAATAAGCCAATCGAGCCGATAAAAAATGTATTCCTTTTTGCCACTCGAGTTTTTATTGCACACAGCCAAAACAGTCTATGAAAAAAAGTCGGAGTGCAATAATGAATGGGAGTCACATTTGCGAGGATTTCAGTCTTCATTTCTTGTGTTCGTCGCTTTTTAGGTTTTTGTACTTTTCACTTGAAATGCCATTCTATGAATTTCCTCCACAATTGCCATCCATCGATCCCGGTTAGGTGGTTCCACATTAAACCAATTCCTCGATATATCGTTTTTACTTGCTACTAATAATATATTCCCCAAGTATTTATCGCTGTCTGTCCTTTATTGAAATCCTTCATGGTCAGGGTCTTGCAGCTTCAATATCTTTTAAAAAATGTCCAGATTTTGACTAAAGGGCTGCAAATTAAAAAAACGTTTTTTAAAAAAATCTGATTAATCGTTTAATCAAAAGATTAAATTATTAAAATAATCACAAAACCTTTGCATGGTGATGCACATTCCCCCACTCCTCCATAATGTGATATTTTATCTGTTAATGTCATTGCAGTGTACCACTGGATCGAGATGAGAACCAAGATGCGCATCATGGGTTTCCGTGGGGCCAACATTAAGCCACTGAACGAGGACGCGGCTGCTGAGCTGGGTGCCGAGCTGCTCGGCGAGACGATTATCTTCCTCGTGGGCGGCGGGTGCATGGTGTTGGAATACACCAGGCAGGCGGCTAACTCGCGTCGCAAGGAGGACGAGCTCAACCAAACGCTCACCAGCCTACAGACTCAAGTAGCCGAGCTGACATTCACCACAGAGACGCTAAGTGCTCAGCTGAGAGAGGTGAACAGGCAGCTGGTTTCCTTTCCTACCCCCACTAAAAAGTGATGTGTTTTTGTAAAAGTGGTACGCAAAGGGACATGAGAACACACGACTGCAACATGTAAAGCCTGAAGCTTCTACTTCACTGTCACCCCCTCAAGGAGGAAGAAGTGGACATAACATCAGGGAGCTGCATTTTGTAATCTACGTGTTCAGAGCAACTATGTATGCAAATCAGGGGATTGCTATGATATTCATAGTGTATTTTCTGTGGCTGATATTGCATGCTCATTACAAAGTGAAATGACTGGGTAGAGACTTGCATCAACAAATTCAAAACAGAATATTTCTGATAACGGCAACCTATTTGATATTTCATAACTTGGGAGAGGCTTGGTTTATGATTAACATAACTCTCCCAAGTAATAGAAAAAAGGTCTCAGTCAATATCACTGTGAATCACTTTGCTGGTTTATGTACAACTGATATAATGAATGAATAATATTGTAAAATAAATACTATAATAGAATTCATGATGAATAATAATGAATTTGTACAAATTGCTCTGAAATTAAAAATATCGTTGGATACGCTGCCCTAAAACTAAATGTTTACACCCATTTTCTATAGCCCTCGTCCTCAAAGCTAGTATTTAAAGTCATTTGTTTTCCATTAGTTGTGGAAATAGAGGGTTTTAGTATCATTGCTAGGTTTAAGGACTTGTATGTTTTTTTTAAGTGACGCAATATGGCTATTTCTGGCGGGTAGCATCAAAAAATACACTACCCATAATTTTTTCTCCTCGCGTCAACTTCCTGTTTACAATTGTATGGCAGCCATTCATTTATATTTCTGTGTAAACATCTTTTAAGTACCCCAACACGTACAGAAAAAAGACAAATAAGCCAATCGAGCCGATAAAAAATGTATTCCTTTTTGCCACTCGAGTTTTTATTGCACACAGCCAAAACAGTCTATGAAAAAAAGTCGGAGTGCAATAATGAATGGGAGTCACATTTGCGAGGATTTCAGTCTTCATTTCTTGTGTTCGTCGCTTTTTAGGTTTTTGTACTTTTCACTTGAAATGCCATTCTATGAATTTCCTCCACAATTGCCATCCATCGATCCCGGTTAGGTGGTTCCACATTAAACCAATTCCTCGATATATCGTTTTTACTTGCTACTAATAATATATTCCCCAAGTATTTATCGCTGTCTGTCCTTTATTGAAATCCTTCATGGTCAGGGTCTTGCAGCTTCAATATCTTTTAAAAAATGTCCAGATTTTGACTAAAGGGCTGCAAATTAAAAAAACGTTTTTTAAAAAAATCTGATTAATCGTTTAATCAAAAGATTAAATTATTAAAATAATCACAAAACCTTTGCATGGTGATGCACATTCCCCCACTCCTCCATAATGTGATATTTTATCTGTTAATGTCATTGCAGTGTACCACTGGATCGAGATGAGAACCAAGATGCGCATCATGGGTTTCCGTGGGGCCAACATTAAGCCACTGAACGAGGACGCGGCTGCTGAGCTGGGTGCCGAGCTGCTCGGCGAGACGATTATCTTCCTCGTGGGCGGCGGGTGCATGGTGTTGGAATACACCAGGCAGGCGGCTAACTCGCGTCGCAAGGAGGACGAGCTCAACCAAACGCTCACCAGCCTACAGACTCAAGTAGCCGAGCTGACATTCACCACAGAGACGCTAAGTGCTCAGCTGAGAGAGGTGAACAGGCAGCTGGTTTCCTTTCCTACCCCCACTAAAAAGTGATGTGTTTTTGTAAAAGTGGTACGCAAAGGGACATGAGAACACACGACTGCAACATGTAAAGCCTGAAGCTTCTACTTCACTGTCACCCCCTCAAGGAGGAAGAAGTGGACATAACATCAGGGAGCTGCATTTTGTAATCTACGTGTTCAGAGCAACTATGTATGCAAATCAGGGGATTGCTATGATATTCATAGTGTATTTTCTGTGGCTGATATTGCATGCTCATTACAAAGTGAAATGACTGGGTAGAGACTTGCATCAACAAATTCAAAACAGAATATTTCTGATAACGGCAACCTATTTGATATTTCATAACTTGGGAGAGGCTTGGTTTATGATTAACATAACTCTCCCAAGTAATAGAAAAAAGGTCTCAGTCAATATCACTGTGAATCACTTTGCTGGTTTATGTACAACTGATATAATGAATGAATAATATTGTAAAATAAATACTATAATAGAATTCATGATGAATAATAATGAATTTGTACAAATTGCTCTGAAATTAAAAATATCGTTGGATACGCTGCCCTAAAACTAAATGTTTACACCCATTTTCTATAGCCCTCGTCCTCAAAGCTAGTATTTAAAGTCATTTGTTTTCCATTAGTTGTGGAAATAGAGGGTTTTAGTATCATTGCTAGGTTTAAGGACTTGTATGTTTTTTTTAAGTGACGCAATATGGCTATTTCTGGCGGGTAGCATCAAAAATACACTACCCATAATTATTTTCTCCTCGCGTCACTTCCTGTTTACAATTGTGGCGAGCTACGAGTGAATCAAATGCCCTCTTTGTCATCTGCTGTGAAAACGCTCATTCGGTACCAGAAGGAGAAATGAATTAAACCAAAGACAATAGATTAATTTCATGTGACGTATGCATACATTAAGTCTGGCTGCGCGCGTATCTTGGAGGCTTAAAACCCAAATGTGAAGTAAAGTTGGCCAACCATGTTTTTGAGTAATATCTGAACAATTATAAGCATATTTCCGTTATTTTTTTAACGCAACCCTTCCGGATTCTTTGTTTAACCCTTAGCAACGCCCTTGACAACGAAAATGCTTTTCTCTGGCGAGCTTCGGAAATGACGTCACTTGGTGACCTGCGAGGGAAGTCCGCCATTGAACAGGGTCGTCAGCATTGTTGCATTGCTTGTTAATAAGATGCCACGGCGGTGTGTAGCGATGTATTGTTCGCAATCGAAAGAAAAGTTATACCAGTGGCCGAAGGATAGCAGGGCACGTAAATGGACATCTTTTATTCGCACGAAGCGAATGAATTTCACGCCGTCATCGACGAGCGTTCTCTGCTATCTCCACTTTAAAGATGCCTGTTTTCTCAACCGGTCTGCTTATGATCAAGGATTTGCAAATAAGTAAGTGTGGTTTTTGGATAGATGATGATGATTTTGTCAAAGCATAGCTGCCAACTCTTGTGGAATGAACAGTAGAAGGGAGCGACGTTGGCCGAAAGCTAACTCGAGAAGTTACGTTGAACAGGAGAAGCTAGCGACGTTAGTTTTCGGCTCGAGGCAAACTCCGATCGATGCTATTCATATCAGCGATGAGTAATAATGGCAGTCAGACAAATTGTTCTGGAAGTACATTTCAATAGGTTGGCAGCGCTGCTTTGTTGACGAATGAATATGACACGTCCTCTTGGAAAACTTCCAATCATTTGTCACGCCTACTGCATTTTATGATTTATTTAATAATTAAATATTTGGTAAGACAGGGGTTAGAAAAGATGTGATAGTATTTTTTTTAGGTTTTATAGGCTTTACGAGCAAAATATATTTCTAGTGTCTCCTCATGTTTATTCTGCAGGTTATTACTCAAAACAACTGCTGTCCCAACAATTCACCTGCCTCCACAAGACCAGCAAGTTCAATATCCACCTGTCCAGCAGAGAGGCAAAAAGAGAGATTAATGATGACAGTCAACAGCGAATGAGAGATTAGAAGTACTTTTCTTTTGCAAGCTCATCACAAGCAAATAAGCCGATCGTCAGGACCCAGCCAGGCAATTAATATTTAAGGAATTTGTTTTCTTAAAAAAAAAAAAAAAAAAAAAAAAAAAAAAAAAAAGAAGAATAAAATAAAATAACGGTTTATTAAATACAAAATTCAACAAGATGATGAAGTTATACCACCACATAGTGTGGATAAAAGTAAGTGATGATGATGATGAGGATGGCCATTAGTGATAAACATATACATACATTGATTATAAACATATTTATCTAGGCTAACTGCTTGAACATGAAGTCTGATTTTTTTTTTTAGCAATAGTATGTAACGATACTATTGTTACACTCTTAGGAGCCTAAATGTTTAACAGATCAAAATCGTGTGAATAATGCCGTCCTCATGCTGTGCCGTGGGTTGTCGGAATAGAAAGAACACACAAAGGGATCTAGTCTTTTACAGAATTCCTACTGGTAAACACCCCTTTCAGAAAAACCGGCGAAAGTTTTGGTTACAAGCTTTACGACGTGAGAATTGGACTGAGGAGACAATTAATAATGCTCGTCTTTGCAGTGCTCACTTCATATCTGGTAAGTACTTGGGAATTAGATCCACCATGTCAAATTATTTTACCAAATGCCACCCAAATTACGATGTGTGATCTTAAACAAGTCTGTCCAATAAATTGCGCAATGTCGCCGTTTCATATAAGACACCAACCACACAATAACAAAACAAACTATTCTTTGAAAATAAAGTAAACAGATCATTTGCATTTTGAGAGTCGGCTATACAACAGCAAATAACTGACGATGCTGAGCAGCTGAGATTGAACAAACTATAGTGCACGAACGTGACTACAATGCGCCATTATAAATTGCAGGTGAGCAGATTTATTTGATACATTTTTGTATCTTTGTCATTTTATTTCGTTACCATTAATTTAATACTCACGAAATAAAATGACAAGAAGAAATGGAAAATAAAATTCATTTACTCACCAATGTAGTTCTCCACGGCGTCTGCTTATTTGAAAATAAAATCCATCCTCCTTTCTTTTCTCAGGAACACTTCAGTGGCTCTGTTGTACAGTTTTTCTGTTCGTTTCAGGTCCATCAGCAAGTCCTTTTCTATCGACATGGAAGCTAATGCTGAAAGCCGCTTTTGTCCGGTCGTGTTTCTGGCATAAATTTTAATCCGTTTTAACGCTGAAAATGACCGCTCAACAGATGCCGTGGACACGGGGATCGTAACAGCCAAACAGGCCAGTGTGTAAAGTTGTCCCATACTCTCACTCAAATTTTTGCTCCGAAGAAAATCATGAAGATCAGCTGAACTTCTCCCTTCAAAATCAACCATGCCATACATTACAGTCAGTTCTGTTTTAAGACGGGGAAGATCAAATAATGCTCCGTGGCTCCGTGTTAAGCTGGAGAAGGCTGTTTGTGGAAATTTTTTCCTGTATGTCTGAAAGTGCTGAGGGTCGAGAAGGGAGAGAAACATCAGTCTTTCGTGGTCCTGAAATCGAGTCCGTATCTGGGAAAGAATGTTGTCCAGAATGCTGGTATGGAGACGTTGGTAGTGTGCGCGCAGGTCGTCTTGTGCCGCGCCCTGGCCTCTGCGCACGCTTGGAGCACCTGAGATGCGTACTGTTTCTTCGTATATTTCGCTGAATTTGTCCCTTGCTCGCTCAACTGTGTCACAAAATTCGTTCACCCTTGCCATGCAAAATTGCACATCCAATGATTTTGTCTGAAGTATTCCAAAAAGCACATCAGCATACTCAAAAATCCCATTGAATATGTTGAGCAAAAAACAAAATTCAAAATCACCCAGACGTGCAGTAAATCCATCAGCAGAAAGCACAGTGTCCTGATCATATTCATCGTGGTGCTCCGATATGTGATCAAACAGCTCCTTCAACGCAAGTTTCTTCTCATAAACTGCATTCACCAATCTTGATGTATATTGCCACCGCGTCGGCGCAACCTGAGGAAAACGATGCTTGCATATGTCGCCTAGTAGTTTAGTGCGCTTCGGAGATCTGGAGAAGAATGCAGCGAGGCCATTCAAATTGGCTAAAAAGACCTTACACTCTTTAAGCTTTGAGGTCCCTTGCATCAGTACTAAATTCAGATGATGTGCATAACAGTGAATAAATAAGGCCATCGGTGCCTTTTCTTTCACTTTATCCTGCATGCCATTCAACCCGGATGCCATTACCACTGCGCCGTCATAACACTGTGCCACAACTTTGTCCAGAGAACATTCATATTCCTCAAATAAATGGAAAATAAGAGCGGCAATGTCATCAGCTCGTTTGCCACTGGTTACATCCTCAAATTTTATGAAACGCTCCTTGACACCTGTGTCCGTCAGATAGCGCAGGACGAGTGAAAGCTGTTCCGTGTTACCCACGTCGGTGGTTTCATCAACCATCACTGCGACAAAAGGGGCTTTTTTGATCTCCAGTTTGATCTCGTCTGCCATCATTTCAGCAATAGCATGAATTAGATCGTTTTGTATTTTTCCGTTTTGTATATTTCTGCGTCATGTTCTGCAAGAAAAGAAATAAGTTCCATGTAGTTACCTCTATTTAAGGACTCGGCCCCTTCATCGTGTCCCCTGAATGAAAGTTCCTGTTTTCCCAAAAACATGACACAATCCATGAGTCTTTTCAATATCTCCCTATTTTTTTTAACTTTTTTGTTGTGGAGCTCCGTCTCCCGGCGTGCCTGTTCACTGAGCTGCAGCTCTATGCGAGTGTCCCCGAACGTTTTTAAACGCACCGTAGCTTCCAAGTGCCCAGCCGTGCTCTGATGTTTCCTTGCTGCCTTGGTAAAACAACTTAAATTGGAAAATCCAGTGTGGCTCCAAACACCAAATCGGTCCGTTGCAAACAATAGGCATTCCCAGCAGTATAATCTGCAGTGTTTCTCAGAGGCTGTGAGCCACAGGTACCGTTCATAGTTGCTCATTTGAAAATGACGGACAAACCCTTTTCCTTGCTGGGACAGGCTAGGTAGCACAGGAATTGGGCGACCTCTTCGCACAATATCCAGCTTTTGGTGGAAGGTCCGTCTTGAAAATTGAGTGGAAAGTAGTTCCGCAACCGGATCGATGTCTTCTCCTTCAGCCATTTTGGGTTAAAATTCAGTGATAGCTCTAGCAGGTGCTTGTCCAATCAGCGAACACGCACATCCAGCCTCGACGTAGGGCATTCTAGCTGGCCCTGGTAGCAGACGAGTCCGATCACAAGTCTGAGACTCGTGATCTGATTGGCTATTGCAAGCTGACTGTGCCCGTTCATTTACAGCGCACAGGGCCTGCTCTGTTTAATCTGAAGGCCCTGAGCAAATTTAATTTACCTGGCAACACAAGCTAGCTGAAATATGATTGGTTAAAAACTCTACCATAATAAATAAGTTATTTATCGAGTGGCTTTCAATGTTACTCGACCAAGTGGAAATAATATGACGTAAAGAGTACAGAGAATAATAATTTTGTCTACATATTTATGAAAATAAAATAACAAATTAAATTTATGTTATTCTCAGAAAATAAATTGATTAAATTTACTTTTCTCAGAATGTTTAGGCCAGCAGAGAAGGCCTTGCTGGCCCTAAGGGTCCGCCACTGATTGGGGAATTTCAAAATAAATGTGATTGGACATTTTTTTTTCCTGGTAGTCAGGAGGGTATAGCATGAGAGTAAAGAGATTTTCGTCTCTTTATAAACACACTTGCAAAACCCCAGTGGAACGAAGAAAGACGACGTGGACAAGACAGTTATTGTAGTAAAAAAAAAACAGTCTGGCTTCGAGCATCGTGTCGGCTAGCTAGCTTCGCTGTTGTTGTTGTTCAAAGCCACTTTGACGTTCTCTGTGACGTGGGTTGCGTCGGCGCTGATTGGTTGAAACCAAAAGACGCGCGCGTGCGTACATGCGAACATGACACCGGCGGACTATGGACTGCTGAGGCGCGCTTC